CCCCACCCCCCACTGTCCCTCCCCTATTCCTCCCAACAGACCCCAGTGTGTAGTGCTCCCCTTCCTGTGTCCATGTGTTCTCATTGTTCAACACCCGCCTGTGAGTGAACACATGCGGTATTTCATTTTCTGTTTTTAGAATACAAGCTTTAGATCAAGTCCTGAATCTGTCAGATATAACCATAATGATCTATAGGATTCATTTAATCCTTTAATTTAATTCCAATATCAATTTAATAACTGTTTCTACAATAAAGAAATCTGTATTTGCCAACAAAGGAGCAGTGCTTAATGGCTTCCATTGCTATTTGCACCACTTGGCTTATCACTGGCTTCATTGAACACCTTCATCCCATCATACGTTTAGTTAAATATTGGATCTTCAGTGTCATAAGAGCCTTACTTAGATAAAGAGTCACAAAAATACCTTTCTGAGCCAGCTAAGGTCATTATCATGTAATGGGCTCCACTAAATGTTGGTCATTTTCAACCTACCTAATAAATAGATTAAATTCATATACCCCAAATGTAACATGTACCATTTCTAAAATTTGAATAGCATGTCTATAAGCACTGTGCTCTCTTACTGGTAAGTACTAAGGGATACACAAACATATCTTTACTTCTGAAAAACTATCAGATATGATTAAAGATACTGTGGATTAAATTATGACTCCAAGATGGAGAACTAATATAAAAATAAGCCATAACTCTCTATATCCCTTCTAGCTGAATTCAAATAACTACTAATGCTCTCCGCTTGTCTGAGTGATGCAAAAGTGTCAGATCAGATAATGGCTACAAGAGCCCAGAGTCAAAATTTATTTGCTCCAATAATAAAAAAGACATCAAAATATCACCTAATGTAGAAATTCCAAAAAATATGCCATAGTCCACAGTAATTCTCTGTATTCCATACCTAGTACCAAAGTAAAAAGTTAAATATGGATATAATATGCATTTATTTGTTTAAAAGGAGAAATGCATATGTATTAGTCCATTCTCACATTGGTATAAGGAAATACCTGAGACTGGGCAATTTATAGAGAAAAGAGGCTTAATTGACTCACAGTCTGCATAGCTCAGGAGACCTCAAGAAATTTACAATCACGGCTCTTCACATAGCAGCCAGAGAGAGAATGAGGGCCAGCAGGGGAAATGCCAGACATTTATAAAACCATCAGAACTCATGAGAACTCACTCACAATTATGAGAACAGCATGGGGGAAACTGTCCTCATGATTCAATTACCTCCCACCTGGTTCCTCCCACAACACATGGGAATTACGGGGATTACAATTCAAGATGAGAGTTGGGCAGGAACACAGCCAAACCATATCAGCATATCGTGTAGGCCCTGCTATTTTTAAGACTGAGATGGGAGAATCCCTTGAGCCCAAAAGTTGGAGTCCAGCTTGGGCAACATAGAAAGACCCTGTCTCAATAAAGAAAAAGAAAGCTAGAGAGCAGAAACCTGAATTTGGAGTGTCTTTTCTCTGAAAATATGAAATAATTCTAAAAGCCATAAATGAAAGCCTGAAAAGCTGAGCGAAATTTTCTGTAGATGCTTTACCCTAAAGGACAGCATGTTACATTGAAGGTCTACCAAGGAAAAGAATCCTTTATAAACAAGGCTTTCATTTGAGACCACAGGGGGATCCACTCTTAGAGTAGGAATTCACAGAGAATGGGGAAGTCCTCAAAGGAACTGAAGTCCAGCTTGCATTATCTAATGTCTTGATTGCATTAATACTATCTGGGATTTTTGTTGTTGTTGTTTTTTACTTCTCCAATCTCAACTCTTGAGTAGAAATACAAGAAATTCTCTCTTAGGGAAAAAAAAATCTTGAATTGCTTTCTTAACTTTTCATATGCAAAATCAGGCACTCAAAAAAAAAGTAACAAAGTGTGGAAGACATGGCCTGATTGAAAGACAAGTGCAATAAAAACAAATGTAGCTGATCCAGATAATTAAAAATAAGCATTTCTAAATAACCTTAGTATGTACACATATTAAAACAAAAGCTAGATTATAAAATAAACCAAGTATATTGAAAAACTAACATATATAGTAACAAATTAAAAACTCAATGGTGGGCTTTAACAGCAAATTAGAGACAAAAAGTTAGAGAATCAGTATATTGCAAGAAATATTAGAAGAAAATATGCAGACCAAAGCAGAGAGCAAAAAATGCAAATGCACAAACTAGTATAAAAGAGACATAAAGGACACAATGCAAAATTCTGACAGACTTTTAATTAATTATAATTCCAGAAAAAGAAGAGGAAAAGAATCAGGTAGGCAAAATACTTGAAGAGATATAATTCGAACTATTCTAAAACTACTGAAAGATATTAAGCTATGAATTTATAAAGTGTCCTGTATCTTACATAAAACTCAGGTATCAGCTGAATAAAACAGTGACTTCAGTCCTTGCCACACAAAACAGAAGAAACACTCAGCCAACAACTGCCTGAATTCCTGACACACAATTTTGAGATAACATAAAATGATTGTTGTTTAACATCACAAAAACTATGGATCCGTGCACGATACATGATGACAGGACCAGAATAAAAAGCGGCACCCCAAGTTGTGATGTTTCTACAACAATTTAAAAGTGTGTGGAATTGGCTTCAGTACCCAAAAATAAGGGCCTCCAGGATATTGTAAGGAAAGGCTGAAAATACAGACGTAACTATTCTGGAGGCTGTGAAAAAAAGTGAGTCGCTATCCAGTGCTGAAAATTTCAGTAATTCTGTCACCTACAGTAAGGTAGAAAATAAAAAATATTCATAAGTGAATAGGTGGATTTGGTTGAAATTTAAATACAATATTGAGACTTACAGCTGTTTCTTATAGCATTGTATCTTACAATAAGTCATAGTTTTTTTAATTACTTAAAATGTTAACTGTTACATTTTCAGATAATTTACAAGAAACATAAAACAGCCAGAACTTGCTGGTATCAAAAATAAAAATGGTTTCCTTTTCCAGACTCTGCAAGAGCTAAATACTCTGAAAGTAAGAAAGGTCATCAAACTAAAAGTCATTTCAAACTTGTGGATGCTAAGACACTACGAAAAGACTTCAGAAACATTTAATAGTGTGTCTCATAAGTACTTTATTTTTTTATAATTTTTTATTGCATTTTAGGTTTTGGGGTACATGTGCAGAACATGCAAGACAGTTGCATAGGTACACACATGGCAGTGTGTTTTGCTTCCTTTCTCCCCTTCACCCACATTTGGCATTTCTCCCCAGGCTATCCCTCCCCACCTCCCCCTCCCACTGGCCCTCCCCTTTTACCCCCAATAGACCCCAGTGTTTAGTACTCCCCTCCCTGTGTCCATGTGTTCTCATTTTTCATCACCCGCCTATGAGTGAGAATATGCGGTATTTCATTTTCTGTTCTTGTGTCAGTTTGCTGAGAATGATGTTCTCCAGATTCATCCATGTCCCTACAAACGACACGAACTCATCATTTCTGATTGCTGCATAATATTCCATGGTGTATATGTGCCACATTTTCCCAATCCAGTCTATCATCAATGGGCATTTGGGTTGATTCTAGGTCTTTGCGGTTGTAAACAGTGCTGCAATGAACATTCGTGTGCATGTGTCCTTATAGTAGAACGATTTATAGTCTTTTGGATATATACCCAGTAATGGGATTGCTGGGTCAAATGGAATTTCTATTTCTAAGGCCTTGAGGAATCGCCACACTGTCTTCCACAATGGTTGAACTAATTTACACTCCCACCAACAGTGTAAAAGTGTTCCTTTTTCTCCACGTCCTCTCCAGCATCTGTTGTCTCCAGATTTTTTAATTATCGCCATTCTAACTGGCGTGAGATGGTATCTCAATGTGGTTTTGATTTCCATCTCTCTGATGACCAGTGATGATGAGCATTTTTTCATATGATTGTTGGCCTCCTCATAAGTACTTTAAACAAGACAAACATAATTCTAACATTCTTAAGAGTATTATCTGACTGCACACAGAGTTCCAGCTCAAATCTGAGATAAGCCTGTTTCAAAAATATTTGCAAATATGGTGCTTGCATATTCCACAAAGTCTTTAAATACATTACACAAAAGGAAGCACCATAGCCTTCCCTATTGAATAGGAGCATCTCTCTTAACTACCTATTCCTCCCTTTCTCCATTCTGCACTGGGCATATAGAAGAAATATCCTGTCTCAATTGATTTGTAATGGAAAAACACCATAATGTAAAATGTGCACAATAGAACCTGCACCCAAGCAGCCCCAACCACTTTCAGTCTGGATATAGAGGATGAGATTTTGAACTTTAAAGAGATGCCATGAGGAATCGCCTTGAGGAAGCGATTCCTCAAGGCCTTAGAAATAGAAATTCCATTTGACCCAGCAATCCCATTACTGGGTATATATCCAAAAGACTATAAATCGTTCTACTATAAGGACACATGTACACGAATGTTCATTGCAGCACTGTTTACAATAGCAAAGACCTGGAATCAACCCAAATGCCCATTGATAATAGACTGGATTGGAAAAATGTGGCACATATACACCATGGAATATTATGCAGCAATCAGAAATGATGAGTTCGTGTCGTTTGTAGGGACATGGATGAATCTGGAAAACATCATCCTCAGCAAACTGACACAAGAACAGAAAATGAAACACCGCATATTCTCACTCATAGGTGGGTGATGAAAAATGAGAACACATGGACACAGAAAGGGGAGTACTAAACACTGGGGTCTATTGGGGGGAAAAGGGGAGGGCCAGTGGGAGGGGGAGGTGGGGAGGGATAGCCTGGGGAGAAATGCCAAATGTGGGTGAAGGGGAGAAGAAAAGCAAAGCACACTGCCATGTGTGTACCTACGCAACTGTCTTGCATGCTCTGCTCATGTACCCCAAAACCTATAATCCAATAAAAAATTAAAAAAAAAAAAATAATAAAAAAATAAATAAAATAAAATAAATTAATTAAAAAAAAAAAAAAAGAGATGCCATGATGGGATGATTTCTTAATTGAGCTAGGAGCATCTAAATCCTGTCTTCCACTTTGCAATTCTCCAATATCCCTTAGAAGACTGAAAATTTCACTGAGAAGACCTTGTCTACATACCTCCTTATCTACATGAGGAGGGACACTCTTATTCTAACTATAGTTAACTTTTACACAAGAGTTTTTCTATAGCATTTCTCATCTCTGAATTTCTCCATGTGTATATAAAAGGATTCAACATGGGTGAGATAACTGTATAAAACACAGTCATGAATTTATCAATAGGAAAGTTTGAAACGGGTCTAATATATATGAAAATACAGGGAACAAAAAACAGGACAACCACTGTGATGTGGGAGCTGCAGGTAGACAGGGCTTTACGCCTCCCTTCCTGACTGTAAGTTTTAAGGGAGTTTAGGATGACTCCGTAGGAGATTAGAAGAAGGGTGAAGATGACCACACAGCTTGCTCCACCATTGAAAATCACAGCGAGGCCTATAAAGTAGGTGTCAGTGCATGCCAGTTCCAATAACGGGTACATGTCACAGAAAAAGTGGTCAATGACATTGGGGCCACAGAAAGGGAGACTGTACACAACAACAATTTGAAACACAGAATGAACAAAACCTCCAGTCACAGCCAACACCAACAGAAGGATGCAAACCTGTCGATTCATGATGGTCAAATAGTGCAGGGGCTTACAGATGGCCACATAGCGATCATAGGCCATCACCACCAGAAGGAAGACCTCAGTGCCACCAAACAAGTGGTCTATAAAGAGCTGGCCCATGCAAGCTGGGAAGGAAATAGTCTTTTTATTACAGAGTAAGTCTGCAATCAATACAGGAGAAATAACGGTGGAATACACAGCATCTATAAATGACAGGCAGGCGAGTAGGAAGTGCATTGGGGAGCCCAAAGAAGGGCTGGCAATAATAATCACCACAACGAGCAGGTTCCCCAACATTGTCACCAAGTATGTGAGTAAAAACATGATAAATAATGCTTTTTGCACACCAGGATCCTGAGAAAAGCCCAGGAGGACAAATTCTGTAAGATTGTTCTTCTGTCTCATTTACTCTTCTTTCAGGTTTGTATCAGAGTGGAGAGCTCAGGAGAACAGGACCTGTAATGAAACAGTGAGCAGGAATATCATTACATCCATTGTGTGACAGAGCTCATCTTCATTGTTGTATCCTCAATAGTGATTTACACATATAAACATTTAGTAAGTCTCTATTGGGTTTCTCATCTCCTCAAAGATTCTAGTTTGAGACTGTAGGTAACAGCTTCTGCCACTAGGTTTAAGTGAATATTCTGTACAGAAGAAGAGTTAAAGGACACACAGTCATTCAGATATTTCATAACTTCTTATTTAAAACATATTTCTTGGCATGACAGTCACCTATGTTGAATAGGCAACAGATTCTTGGCCTCAAGAAACTTATTTTCTGGTGGTGGTAATAAACTCTAAATAAATAAATTGTCATAGATTCAGACCTTTGACGTTGGAATTGTGGTGTCTTAATGATTGGTGTAGCATCGAAAATAACATGCTCTGAAATATCTGACTCAGTACTATGGAATTCTATTATTAGACATTTGGTCCTTCATGCCTGAAAGGCTGTTCAGTCTTTATGAATATCTCATTAAATGGCAAGAGACTGGACATTGACCTGTACAAGTAGTACAGGTTTATTATAAATATTATTTATCACATTATTCTCTGTAGCAATTGCTTGGTCCTACTGTTTGTTCACCTAATAAGGAATCATAAATCTCTAGATTATATCCTTGCCTATTTCATAATTTGTATCACACTTACCACAATATCCTGATTTTCAGCAACTAATTTTAAACTCAAGTGAACTAACTCATGACTATCACCAACTGCCACATAATTAATGAATAGTTTTTTCTGAATTCTTGGGGTGAACTGGTGAGAGAGGAGAAAAGAGACATTGTACAAAGAGCTACAGAACAATGGGACATGGTTTTATTTGTAACACAGTATAGATATGAGAGTACTCAAAAATAGAAGCTTAGTGTCCAGATTCCAAAACGATGCATTCTAGAAGAGAATTTCCAAGTTCAATGTAAGGCAGCATGAATTTGAGTTATTTTCTAGATGGATTTACAAATCTGTCTCAATTTTCTTACTAGAAAACAGTGTGATTAAATTAGATGAACTGATAATCCTTTCTAGTCAACCATCTACAAAACTGTTAGTGCGCCTCTTTCTTACTTAATTCTGCTGAGTTTTTTTTCATTTTTTATATATTTATCATTAAATAGCAATTTCCAAGCTCATGACAGTTACATGAATAATGATAGCCAGTGGCAGATGTTTCATGGTTACAGTGAGTAAATAATAACCACAAATTTCTCACTATGTGCCTATTTAAGGTTCAAGACATCCTTGGAGAGAAAGCATAGCATGTGGTGAATGATGTAGACACTGGAGCCATATTGCCTTAGCTACAACCCCAGCTTCGCCACTTCCTATGTGACATTGGCCCACTTACTAAATCTCTCTATGCCTCATTTGGATTTAAGACCTCTTATGGCTGTTTTATTACAACAAAGTAAAGTGTCTGGAACACTAGCTGGTACCTGGTAAAGGCTCAGTAAATGGTAGCTACTACTCGTGTTCTTGAATGCTTCACTGTGAACATTGGATCAGAACTCACATCTATATCTTTTTCAGTTTGAAAAGAATTATAGACATAGTCCTGAGAATATACAAGAAGGCTCTTATAATTCAGGAAAGGCTTTTTAGGAACACAATATAATTGTCTATCTTAGGAATTATCTATTTAATTATGTAAGAGTATTGATTTTATCTGTGATGGACTGTATCTTGACAAGATTAGGCAGAATTATAGTAGAAACTTGGACTCCTCATCAGAGGGAGAGCTAAATAGTAGAAAATGAAATAAAAAAGGGTCAAATCAGAAAACGGAGTAATTATAGTAAGACAGTCAATAAGAAGATTAAGTTACCCACAGTAAATAAGAAGATTAAGGTTAACGTGATAAGTGAGGCAAGTATTCTTCTAATAATTTTCTTCAGGAAAATTTTTTTCATAAGGAAATAATGAAAACACAACCTCCAATGGGTCTCTGTGGGGAGTCAAGAGGCTTCTTGTGGTAACCAAACAAACACAGTCCAGATCCTAATAAGCAAAAACAAAGAGAAAAGAAGAAAAACAAAACACGTTGATTTCTCAAAATCTAGATCTGATGGTTGAGGACAAACTTAAATTACAGAGAACGATGGGACCAGTAGAGATACAAACCCAAACCTTATGATAATTCACTGGTAGGAAAACTGCAGAATTACTACACTCAAATGTAGACAAGATGATTGCATTTACAGAGATCTGGCAGTGGAAGAGGATGCGTGCAGGGAGAGTTCGGCTTTCTCTAAACATCAACTGTGATGAACATTCCACATGTCTCCTTCACATGCCGCTTTCAGCTGATTCAAGTTCTGTCATCGTTGAAGCTATAGACTGATAGAGACACACCTGCTGAAGAACTCAAGGGAGTAATGTAGTCTATAGTCAATTCTATTACTTTTTCACTCCTTACTTGCTCTAAGGTTTAGTGCCTTTTCCCCCTTTCATCATCAAACTAGATTTAAAAGGATAATTCTATTCGGCAAGTTAAATGTTTTCTTGTAAAAAATAGGGTATGTAAACTATTCATTCTAGTTTAAATAATTTAAAATATAATACTTTAAATGCTGAAACATAGCATTACAAGACTTTCAATATAAACTTCTAAGTTAACATTTTTCTAGAAAAAAATGATTTAATATACCTTCCTGAGAACATGCCATTTTCAAAAGATAAAATTCCATAATAACAAAAACTCTGTAGTATATTTCACAGTAACAGTTTTATAAATCTATTTAAATGACAGTAGACTAGGTACCTTCCTGAGCATATATATCTACTAGTATGTTTCCTGGGATAATTTGTAGATTCATAAGTAAAAATCCCATATTACGCTTCTAAATCATAACAGGCATTTGTTCCTTTGTACTCAAATATATTGCCATGATCTGAAATTTTAAATTCTCTAATCAAATATATTTAAAAGTAATTGTACACCTTTATTAGTATATCACATAAAATATAACAACCCATAAACTAAGATTATACATCTATTGGCTTATTTATTATACATGTAATATGGAACACGTTTCTTTTCTTATTTGGCAAATGAAAAAAGACAGCCAATTAGGCTATATAATTAAAACCAACAATGCATTGTATATTCTGATAAATTTTCATGCTTGCTAGCTTAGTTTTTCCAATTAGAATTTATCCAGTAAAACCACTGGTTTTTAAGACACTAGCTATGTTTCAACATATCACAGGAATTTACAATGAATATCTCTTGTCAATTGTTTCAAATACTCACATCTTGGTCCAGAAAAGCAATACTTCTTCACTGAGGATTGCTGTAGATACCTCATGCATCTATGTGTGATCATAAAACACATGAATATACATGGATTATCAATTGATGTAGAAGTAATTCCTTGTGGCTAGAGTTTCCGTAGTTCCACAAAGGTTTCTTATTAGCTCAGTCTTTGGAGAAGTACAGCACCAAGCAGATGACCAAAATATAAAGATGCTTTAACATAACGTCAATATTTACTGTGCAAAGGTAATCAAACTAGAAAATTTCTTCATACAAAACAAAGAGGCTATCTCTGCATGACTATGTAAAAGTTGATAATTAGTAGGAATTAACCTGGAGAAGACCCCTATTATGTTTCACAGTATCAACACTAAAATTTCTTACTTGAAAGTTTTCTCAATTATGGTGAAGCAACCAGAAGTGCTTTATTGTGACTGAAGATTGATAACATTCATGAGCCCAGCTATTAAGCTTTGTACCTAACAAGGACAATACTGAGATTTAACTTCATGAAAAAAACAATGACAGCGCTTTCTCATAGCTAGAAGCCAAACTCTTCATGCTTTCAGTTATTCAACTAGCATATCCCTAAGAGCATGTCTTTCCTAAGTATAAGCATGTCTCTATATTTCCAATCTCATCCCAGGACATTGAGACCGTTCACACATTTTTGCAAGCAGTGGTAGATATGAGAAGAAAACATTACACCTAGAGAACTAGATACTAACTGAAAACATACTCTACCTTGGGCATAAATTTCATTTTTTTGATATCTCCTGTGTTGTTCTATCAGGAAAATAATTCTTCCATTTATATATGTAGACACAGTCTATGACTTTTACATCAACAATTTTTAGAAAGAGACAATAAGGTCGTTATAAACTAGTTAATTAGAATATTTGGAACAAATTCAAATGAAGTAACCTCCCTTTAAACTTTTTTCTTTGAAAATCCCTAGAGGAAAAAGACTTGGCTCTTGCTAAGAATAGTAGCTAAAATGAAAATAAAAATTCTAAAGCAAATTTAATAATAAATTTTGAGTTTCACGTTATGAAATGTTAGGTAAGGCAAGTAATATCCCAGCCCGAATGAAAAAGAGAACCAGCTCCAGATTTTCTTCTCTAAAAGTATTTCTGGTAAGAAGGGCCTTACCCTTCCTGTTAGAAAGTCTGTGCCCAAGAAGCCCTGAGGTTCAGAGGCAGAGAGCCTAAGAACCAAAGTTAATATTCTGATTCTTAGAAAAATAGATAATTATAGTGTTGCAGTTTTTGGTTCATGCACAGGCTTTTGATCAAGACCTCTATCTATGTCAGATATAACCATAATGATCTATAGTCCATTGATATTGTTTGGCTGTGTCCCCACCCAAATTTCAACCTGAATTATATCTTTCTCATTTTCTTTTGCCACCACCATGTAAGAAGTGCCTTTTACCTCCTGCCGTGATTCTGAGGCCTCCCCAGCCACGTAGAATTTGGAATGCAATGTGGAATTGGACTGCAAGTTCAACTAAACATTTTTTTCTACCCAGTTTTGGGTATGTCTTTATAAGCAACATGAAAACTGACTTAAAACATCCATTAACTCAATTTTAATTTTATTCCAATATCAATTCAATCACTATTTCTACAATAAAGAAATTTTTATTTTCTAACAAAGGAGCAGTATTTAAAGGTTTCCATTGTTATTTCTGTGACTGGGCTTACCATTGGCTCCACTGAACACCTTCATCTCATCATACATTTAGTTAAATGTTGGGTCTTTGTGTCATATGAGACTTAGATATAGAGTTCCATAAATACATATCTGAACCATCTAAGGTCTTTATCAACAAACGGGCTCCATTAAAAGTTGGTCATTTTCAACTTACCTAATAAATGGATTAAATTCATCTACCCCTAAGGTTATATGTATTACTGCAAAAATTTGAAGAACATGTCTGTAAGTACTGTACTGTCTTACTGGTAAGTGCTAAAAGATGCACAAACATATCTTTAATTCTGAAGAACTATCAGATATGGTGAAAGGTACTGTGGATTAAATTTTGACTCCAGGAGGAAGAACTAATATAAAAATAGGACCTAATCCTCTATATTCCTTCTAGCTGAATTCAAGTAACTACTAATACCAACACCCAGTGTGGAAGTGGATCCTTCCTCGGCCAAGCTTTCATATGAGATGGTAGCCCCAACCAGCATCATGATTACAGCTTTATGAGAGACTTTAAAGCATAAGAACCTACTAAACCATCCTTAGTTTCCTGCCCTACTGAAATTGAGAATGAGTACATAGTGTGTGAATCACTAAGTTTTGAAATAATTTGCTATGAATAAATAATTAATAAATAGATCTAGAATGTGCTTCAAATATTGGGAAACATGCCAGTAAGTATTTAGTGAACCTATGAATCCAGGAAAAAGATATAATGGAAATAAGCAAATATTTACAACTAAGCAATAACAAAAACATATCAAAATGTGTGAGGTGTGATCGAAACAGTACTTAAAGAAACATGTATAGGCATAAATGCTTACATTTAAAATAAGCATTTAAAAGCAGCCATCTGAGCCTTTACCTTATGAAGCCAGACCAACAAGAGTAACTAAAAGCCAAGGTAAGTAAACAAAACAACATAAAAATAAGGTCAAAACCCAATAACATGGAAAACATATAATAGAAAAAATAAAAACAGCCAAAAAGAGGTACTTTTATAATGAAATTGATAAACTGTTAGCAAGAGTGATCAAGAGAAAACAAAGAGAAATTCAAATTACCAATATCAGAAATAATAAAAACAAATCATCATCCCATAGATCCTTTACATTTTAAAAGGTTAGAAAAATATTGTTATGAAATGTATTATTTCAATTAACTTGACAGCTTAGCTGAACTAGGCAAAATGTAAGGAAAGGACAACCTTCCCAAAATGATACAAAGAGAAACTGAAACGGTCCTACATCTTTCGAAGTAATGAGCTATCCTTACTTGTAGATAACATTAGTGTTTGAGAAAACCCTAAATAATCTACAGACATAACTATGTAGGAATAAGAATTAAATTTAGCAAGTTTACAGGACCTAAGTGTCCAATAAAAAAGTCAATTTTCTTTATATGTACTACCAACAATGACAATTGGAAATTTTTAACAATTGAAAACCTATGATGAAATCTGAAAACATAAATACTTCAGAATAGAGGAGGAAGATCCCTACACTAATCAAAACTACAAAACTCTTCAAAAATAAATATGTAAAACACCTAAGAGACATATTGTATTCAGGAATTAGAAAACCCAATATTGTGAAGACGTTAGTACAAGATGATTTATAGATTCAACTTAAAATGAATAAAACTCCAATATGCTCTTTTTGAGATGTGGAGAATTGTTCTGTATGCTGCTCTGCAAAGAGACTTTGCCACTTTCCTATCAAGGGTTATCTTCTACTTTTGTAAAACCTCAAAGCTGGGTGGTCATGTGACCACTCCTGATGAATAGAATATGATGCAAGTGACATTGAGACAGTTCTGGACATAGCCCTTAACTGGCTAGACCGATCTTTCTACCACTGGGATCTCTAAGCACCATGTGAAAAGCCTGACTATTCCATGGAGTGATTTTGTAGTCCTTCTTCTAAAGGGATAGGAAGAGGGACCCAGTGCATGTCTTGCTGTTATCGCTTCCACTATGCTATAAATGTGAATTAAGTTATCCTGTGTCTTACATAAAACTCATGTATCAGCTGAATAAGACAGTGACTTCTGTACTTGCCACACTAAACCGAATAAATACCTAGCCAACAACTGCCTCAATTCCTGACTCACAAAATTTTGAGATAAAGTAAAATGATGGTTGCTGGAAACCACAGAAACTGTGGATCCATGCACAATACATGAAGACAGGACCAGAATAAAAAGTGGCACCTCAAGATTTATGGTGTTTCTGTAACAACAATTTAAACTGTATGGAAATGGCTTCCACATCCAAAAATAGGGGTCTCCAAAATATTGTAATTAAAGGCTAAAAATACAAACATAACAATTCCAGAGGCTGTAAAAAGAGTGAGTCACTGTGCAGTGCTGAAAAAATTCAGTAATTCTGTCACCTAGAGTAACATAGAAATTTAAAAATTTAAAAATGTACTTAAGTGAGTAAGTAGATTTGTGCTAATTTTCAAAATAGAATATTGAAAGTTTTAGCTGTTTCTTATAGCATTGTTCTTATAATAAGTCATAGATTTTAAAAAATAATAAGATTAACTGTTATATTTTCAGACAGAATTTACAAGAGACAAAATTTGCTGGTTTCAAAGATAAAACTGATTCTTCTTTCCAGTCTGCAAAGAGCTAAGTATTCTTACTTTCTTAAATGTAAGAAATGTTATCAAAATAAAAATAAATTCAAAGTTGTAGATGTTAAGACACTTTGAAAAGACTTCAGAGAAATGTAATGGTGTGTTTCATAAGTACTTCAAACTAGACAAATGTAATTCTAAGATTATTAAGAGCATTATCAGATTGCACATACAATTTCAGCTCAAGTCTGAGAAGGGCCAATTTCAAAGATATTTGTGAATATGGTGCTTGCATATTCCACAAAGTCTTTAAATAAAATACACATGAGGAAGCACCACTGTCTTCCCCTTTCAACAGGAGCATCTATTTTAATTACCTGTTCTTCCCTTGCTCTATTCTGCACTGGGAATATCAAATAAATATCCTTTCTCAATACATGTGTAATAGAGAAAAACCATAATTTAAAATGTGCACCTTAGGACCTGAACCCAAGCAGCCCCATCCACTCTCAGTCTGGATATAGAGGTTGAGATCTTGAAATTCAAACAGATGCCATGATGGGATGACTCTTAAGTGAGCTGGGAGCATCTCAATCCTGACTTACCACTTTAGGATCCTTGAATTACCCTTAGAAGACTAAAAATTTCACTGAGATGACCTTGTCTACATACCACCTTATCTACATGAGGAGGAACGCTTTATCCTAACTGTAGTTAACTTTTACACAAGAGTTTTTCTACAGCATTTCTCATCTCTGAATTTCTCAACGTGTATATAAAAGGATTCAACATGGGTGAGATAACTGTATAAAACACAGTTATAAATTTATCAACAGGAAAGTTTGAAACTGGTCTAACATATATGAAAATACAGGGAACAAAAAACAAGACAACTACGGCAATGTGGGAGCTGCAGGTAGACAGGGCTTTATGCCTTCCTTCCTGACTGTAAGTTTTAAGGGAATTTAGGATGACTCCATAGGAGATTAGAAGAAGGGTAAAGATGACAATACAGATTGCTCCACCATTGAAAATCACAGCGAGGCCTATAAAGTAGGTGTCAGTGCACACCAGTTCTAACAATGGGTACATGTCACAGAAAAAGTGGTCAATGACATTGGGGCCACAGAAAGGGAGACTGTACACAACAACAATTTGAAACACAGAATGAACAAAACCTCCAGTCACAGCCAACACCAACAGAAGGATGCAAACCTGTCCATTCATGATGGTCAAATAGTGCAGGGGCTTACAGATGGCCACATAGCGATCACAGGCCATCACCACCAGAAGGAAGACCTCAGTACCACCAAACAAGTGGTCTATAAAGAGCTGGCCCATGCAAGCTGGGAAGGAAATAGTCTTTTTATCACAGAGTAAGTCTACAAGCAATATGGGAGAAATGGTAGTGGAATACACAGCATCTATAAATGACAGGCAGGCAAGGAAGAAGTACATTGGGGAGCCTAAGGAAGGGCTGGCAAT